AAGTAGAAATTGTAAGAAAAAGGGGAAACGAGGCAAAGAAGAATTCTTTCTATGGTTAAGACAGTTAAACGGATTCCTTTCCGGGGGAAAAGATAACAAATAGTTTTTCTTTCAGAAATTCCATTTATTAGCAATAATTTAATGTGTGTGTGCCTGTGTATGTGTGTGTGTGTAATTTTATCTTACGGAAGTCCTTTAAACATATTACATATACAATATAAACCAAAAGCTATTTACCATTAAATTTCCGTTTGCGTTTTGGATCATTTAACATATTTTACTTTAGCATTTTTCCTCACTTGTTAATAAATATGATATTTATTTAACGGTAACTAAATTACTCAAACAACATTTTAATAATAAGTTTATGTAAATAATATATGACAGATTCGATTCATTAATGACATCTGCATAAATTGAAGTAAAATATTAAGTTGCCTTACTCGTTGAAGGGGAACATTGACGACGTGAACGTTTCCTTTTAACAAAAAGTTTAATTTACACTTTTACAAAATTCATTAAACAAATTAATTTCATTTATGACGCAATTGTAAATATTTTTTAAAACAAACATTCTAAAGGAAGCAAATTTAAAGTCCATTTGACTGACTTTAGAATTTCTTTTCAAAATTCAAAACTGCGCTTGCCTTAAATTTATTAATGAAAGCTTTTTATTGTCATTTTTGAAATTTATCTATGATTCGCGTACAAAAATAGAAGCTATTGTTATGCAGCGCTTGCTTGTTATTCAGCGTTTCTTAGTAATAAATAAAATTTTAACGACTTATTGTTGCTGAGGCGGCTAAGGAAGTGCTTTTGAATTTTCAAAAAACAAAACTGATTTCTTTGCATATTTTCTCACCCAAAGTTCAAAATTAATCGAAATAAAACTCTATGCGCAAAAGTCCTTGAAAATTCCGACCATTAGCCTGGATTCATTTCTAACAAGGTGGTAATGATTTCTATCAAACGAGTCTACCGATCTTATTAATAATTTAGCCTAGTCTTCTGGGTGAAATTAATTAGTCCTTGAATAAGGTTTTTTTTTCTTTGCTCTCATCAACACTTCTCCTCTGACCAATATCAATTTAATCTGTATCGCATTTTTATCTAGAAGCCTGCCATTCAGTTTTCATCAACTGAAATCTCTTAGTCGGATAAGAAAAGCTATATATATAAGATATAGGAAAACGAATCGAACATTCTGAGAGCAATCTGCCCATGAAAATTCCAGCAACTATTAAAGCAGTAAAACAATCCTGAAAAATAGCGAATATTCCATCAACAATCTACGCTTGCTAATCATTGAATCCAAGTAGTTCAAGTCACATTATATCATACTTAGGTCTTACCTAAAAGAAACGAAAAGATATTTAAGCATGAGATGAGACAACCTATTAACGAATAAGCCTATCCCACTAATAAACGAACTTATAACACGTACTTTACTTGTAAGTAACCCTTTGAATTCTGCAAGCGTAACATGCTATGTAAAAGTGACTGTTTAACATAATTTTACCCTTACAAATAGGCAGCAATGACTGCACTTAGTACACAAACTACAAAGGAATGCAATTAAAATATTTCTCAATCCGCTAGGCAACGCTTCAAAGGCATTATTTCGCACGTAAATATCGTTGTTTTCATTCATCAAATTGATGAAAAATTTTAATGTTTTGCATTTTTTCTTATTACAAATATATGATGAGCTTAACATATGCATCTTGAACATGGAAAATTTTGCATAAATTTTCATGTTAGCTACGCACTTATATCAAACGTTACATATGCACTTCCACCATAGATTTACTATATTTAGTAGTAAGAATATTGGGGAATTCGAAGTAGTGGTTAACCATAGATTTCTTTATTAGTTCATTTCTTTTTTCAATTATGTCCTGTTCTTTTTGCTTGCTTTCAAAAATGGCATTCGTTTTATTGTTTCTATTACAAGTGTGCGTATACGCGTTTGAAACGCACGTGCCACCTAAGTTGACAACAAAACGTTGTCAGTCTTGCCGAAGAAATACTTGATGTGAATATTTAAATTTAGAGAAAATTAAGGGAATCTATTAAAGAGATGCGAAAAATAAATTCTCTAAGAGAAAGAAGAAAAATTGATTTTCTTTAGGAAATTTTCTCTTTTCTCCGGTAAAATGGCAATTGAAAGTCTCTTAAAATCCACATAACACAACTTCTAAGAGTAACGCGATAAAAAGCTTCAGTTTCACTGCGAAAGTTTTAATGTTAAATTAAATTATGTAAAAAAAAAGAAAAAAGTGTATACAGTTGTTGTTGTTTCCTTCATTGTATTGCATTTTTTTGAAAAGATATTTTCTGTTCTTAACACAAAGCATTAAACAAAATTTTTATATTTTTCGTATATTGTAAGCATTACTAGAAATGTAAACATTGAAGGATTAAAATAAGATTTGCTACAGGTGCATATATGACCTTGCTTTTTTACTTTTGTGTGTTTTTTTAATAATTTTCTCAATTACTGTTATTATTGTAAAATATCAATGCTATTCAATTAAATGATTACAGCTGTTACAGTTTCAAGTTGTAGGTCAGTGTTGTGGTTTATATGTATTGTATTTAGATAGATAAATATAGACAGTTGGTTTGTTTGTTTTTTCTTTTTCTTCTTCTTTTTTTTTTTTTTTTTTTTTTGCTCTTCTACGGAATACAGAGGAAATAAAGGTAAATGGCAATTTTGAATTTAAATTCATTTACATACATATACAAGCAACTATTTCTGATATGCGATTATATTAACATATGGTAAGATTTAATGCAAAATCGCAGTCATACAAAATTTGTTTTATATGGAAGGCCATTGCGTATGATTGACATGCGTTGTGGGGTAAAATAAATATACAACGTATACGTACCCGTATACCAAATAATACGTTTCTATTTCAATTATATTACGTAAAAAAATAGTGAATTAAAATAACATTGGCCTTTTCATTCATACTCATCCATAGAAAAATGAAAGGGTGGAATAATGATTTTCTGAAAACGTTTGCAGGACCCAGTACGAAGTTTCAGAGACCATACAAAATATATATCAAAATCAAATTTGACAAAAGTCCATCCCGGTTTATCTGTCCCCTTGCAGTAAACATTCTTAGGATAGCCAAATTTGAAGATATTAATGTAATAAGATTAGAAGTCCTTGAGCAAGATTCGGCCCCAGTCAGTTATAATTTTCAGTACTTAATTTTCAATTATTTATGAAAAACTTTTAAAAGAAAAAATTTATTCTTGGATGCAAATTCTGGTTCAGTTCATAGCTCAAGAAAGAATTCTGAAAGATGACACTACGGCTACTGTTCCGAAACGATTTTCACGTTTCGTGTAACGCATCTCTATCTCAAATATTTCCTTCGGTTGTCATCTTTCTGTCCTAGATACGTGATTTCCTTCTGATTGCGATCCTGCCAGGCGCATCGTGACATAATAGAAGGCATTTCAACTCCATTTTTGGAAAACTTTCTGGACATGCAATATGAAATAATTAAAAAATTTAACATCAAAATTCAAATGAGCCTTAAGCATTCAGCAGATTAGAGTGGAAATGCTTCTAGAGAATAGATCCACACTATGATCATTGTTTTAGATTTCAATTCCAAAAAAAAAAGAAAAAAACTCTATTAATTAAATAGAAAAAAACCCTTTTAAAACAACGCCATAAATTAAAATTAAAGCAATAAAATTTTTTAATGACAATATTTCATTAAAAATTGACTGAACAAAGTCTTAACAAGTCAACCCTAACTTTGGTTAATGTCTTGCATTTAAAATGACAACAATCTTATAGCGACTTTCTTTCCAGTTCACTCATGCAATTAACGCAACACTCTATGTGATCGTTACACCGTAAAAAATATTTCAAACAGGGTGAGTACAGTCTACTTATGGGGTATAATAACTTTATCATATCTTCGCTGGGTCTGATTACTAAGGTACTCCTTTCGTCTGTCCGTCTCTCAGCTGCAGATATGCTTATACTCTCTAAACTTTATTTAGACTGCCGAGGTTAGTTTCAAAATCTTTCTCCTTACCATTTAGTTTGACGTAGTATCGCTATAGGATGCTTAAGCATTCAATGCAAATTTCATTTACAACATAAAGTTTTCATTTAATATGACCGCGATAGCTAAATGACTATTCACGAAAAATCGTAAATCATTTCTTTCAAAAGATATTCCGTAAAGCAAGAAGAAACAATTACTAGGAGTATAAAGCGGTTCGTTGTAGACTATGTACCCTGTGCACCCTATAATTTTTTAATTATTATTTAAAGACAAAAGGCCTTTTTTTTTTCTCGATTTCATACAAAGTATCCTAGAAGACACTTGAGATAATGGTTTGATATTAAGTTGGAAAATTTTATAAAAAAATTTTCAAATTTTAATAATCCCCTTAAAAGTTTTTTCTCTTTTTATCAAATAATGGATGCAAATTTGCTTCTTCTTTTTTTTTCGTAAATTTCTTTGAACATCACCGACAAGAGTTTGTATTATTGAATAAACAAAACGGATGTGGAAAAAAAAAAAATCGAAAAGCAATTAGCGAGAGGAAAAAATGACAAAGTTTTTTAAGTAAAATATTTTGTTTTCTTCGAGAGATAATACAAACGGAACAAATATATATTTGACAATTAGTCAATTTGTCTGTCATTTGTATAAAAGCAAATGCATTTTTTGGCTACAATTTTAGTTAGTTAAGCTATCCCATAGTTAATGGATTTGTCGATGTTCCGTTCTCGTTTTTGTGCAATTTTTAAAATATAATAAAATTGACGAAATTACATATATAAAAGTTAATTAAAAAAAAAAAAAAAAAAAAAATGGATATTTTGTCTAAATTTTGCACAATTAAAGCATCGTAACCTAACACTGAAAGCATTATATTGTAATAAAATAGAATTATTGTCATTTCTATCCTGTTTTTTGTGTTTTTTTTTTTTTTTTTTTTTTTTTTTTTTTTTTTTTTTTTTTTTTGTTATTCTTTTGCTTATCACGACGACACCACAATGACTAAGACTTTATCGATTTTATTGATGTACGGTATTGTGGGTTCTTTTCTATGGCTTTTATTTGCTCCATCCGTAGATGGGAAAATTTCTGCTGCCTCTTCGATTATTACTGCCGCTACCGCTGCCGCTGCGGATTGCAAGGAATTAAGTAAGCATTTGTTTTGCAGTTTCATAATTGACAAGCGACTATTGTTGAATGGTATTGCTGTCAATGAAAGAGTTCATAAAAAATATTTATTGCATTATAATCAACGCAATCATTTCATAAGTTTCATTCAAATTGAATACATTGTTGTCAAACAATCACGTAGGCTAATACCTAACTTATGAAAAAAAAAAAAAAGGATTTTTTTTTCCCGAAACTTTCTTGCAAAATTTCAAGGCTGGAATTGAATGTGCTGAAGGACGTACTCATCGTCACTTGACGAATTAGCTTCGATGGACTTACAGAAATTTTAGTGAACCGATCGGCGAAATTAGAGTATTTGACAGCCGAAGTCATCGATGAGGCGGTAATTGCATGCAAGTAAATGCATTTCGCGGTGATAAGCAGCTCCACAGCCTGGCTACAAACTCTGTAGGACGGTGGTTACACCACACATCATCGGCAGAGAAGAAAGCAATTTCTATAACTCACTTGAGGTGGAGACTATTCAAGATGTATATCAAAAGCGACTTTAATTACCCTCTCTGGTATATTTACCAAGCTGCTGTACCTATCGCTGGATATTAAATCGACAATTACAAAATTTCCTCTTAAAATACGAGAGAAACCAAATCTCCTGCTCTAGCAAATTATCCCGTAACACATTTCATTACTAAATTTTGTAGAAACCTCACATTAAAAGTCTCAATTAAAGTCCGTAATTAGGACAACTCTTACCAGCTTAGCTGCCTTCGGTAACAAGTGTTCGGTGTTTCTGTCATCTTCCTTCTTTCTCACGTGTAAATACTTGTCATGTGTGCAGTATTGACTACTTGAAGTGTTTGAACTTTGATGGCACACATTATTGCCATTTATCTCTGTCTCGTTTCGTATGTAATCTTTGCTGCATTTCTATAAAGATTCGCATGTGTGCTTGTAATGATGAAAGGTACATTTCTACAGTTACAACTTTTATTCGTTCCTTTTGCTCGTTTTCCTATTTCCATTGTCGATCAAGTTATAGAGTAACATACTTACGTATATAAAATTTCTCTGAAAGTGACAAAGACCTGTGATGGAGACATGTTTTCCATTTACTTTAAAAGAAATTCACATCGAATACTCCATACATTGTATACAAGTGCACCATGTCTATGTCGCGTGCTTGATGTTCGTTGTAAGCATACAGTTTATTAAAACCTACCTTTACATCGAACACACTATCAGAGTTACTTCTCGAACCACGTGCCGTTACTCGACACAGTCAGTCATCTCATTTTAGAGAAATAATTTTTTTTTTTTTAATTCTTATTGAAATTTAATATTTTTTTCTTAGTCATCATCGACTAGATTACGGCCACCATCTACCTACCTGCTATTCAGTTCAGATTTAAAAAAAAGAAAAGTAAACTGATGCATGGGATAGTTTTTCACATCCACTAATTACCGCCTATTGTTTTAAAGAACCACTTAATTGCTCACCCTCTTGTATATGCATCATTACTGCAAGACTGACTGACTCACTGATTGAGTGACAAAACTTTCTTTTCTTCTCACGGCGCTGTTTGCTATCGAAACGATATACATATAACTTGAAAGCTTAATGTGCCCGGTATTAAGTTATTTGCTCAGTCCTCAACTATTGGTATGTGCTTTGCACATTTCGATTATCTTTGGATTTCCTCTTATCCTCTCTGATGAACAGTCAAGCTTCAGTAGGCCTTGCTTAACACTCCACGATTCCACATCGATAAGTCCAACCCTTTTAACTGTGCTGCTAACAAGTATCCGATTATAAGGTTAATTAAACCGAGGCTAGTAGGCCAAAGAAAACATTTTTATTGGCACCAAGGCATGCTTCAAAACTTTTCGAACGCGTGGAAAATGATTCAAGAATTTTTTTCTTGAAATTTTTACCTTTCGCTTACGCCAAATGAGTACGAGCTGGCAACTTATGGCTGTTAATTACAGAAAGTATTTCTGTTTGTTTAAAAGTGTTTCGTTGAAGCGACCTTTTGACTTAATGTGAGACTGTGAGCTATACAAAGAGCTCTCAATGGTTTTCGAGTCAAGCTTTTGGTCTTGATCACGAATTCTCGGCTATAGAATTAGAAATTTGCTTGCCTTTTGTTTTCTGTCGCAAGTGTGTGTAAAGTGAGAAACGTACGATTCTGTCGTCGACGGGGCAATTGCAACAAAAGCAAAATCTTGGAACAATAGATCGGCAAGTCAAGCGGATGAGTACGAATACTGAAACAATTTTATTAAAGCCGCCCACGCAAAGGTTCCAATTGTGGTTTTTCTTTCTTGCCTTTCGATCGAACACTTTTGCCCTGCCGATGAGCCCTTTAATATATAATTTTGGTGAAAATACATTTTCGTATATTTAAAAATTACTCCTTCTTTTTTTTTTTGTTTTTTTGTTTTCAAGGTATTATTTCTTATTATTCTTTGTATGCAAATTTAGATCAATGGAATTGTTATTCAGCAAGAAACGAAGGTTACTTTTGCAACAGTAAAGATCAAACAACCACCCAGTTGCGCTGGTATTACGATAAAGGCCAATGTAAAAAATTCAACTACAAAGGATGTTATGGTAATCGGAATCGTTTTTGCACCAAAGAGATATGTATGAAACGATGTGAGGGGCAATGAAGTCAACGTAAAAAGCAAAGAACGGCAAAAATCTTTATGCATTCAATTACGTAAAAAGTAATCGTTGTATTTTACTCGCAACAACAACAAACAATTTTTTCTTATATTTTACTATTATTTAAGAGAAACTAAAAATAAATTTTGAAAAAAAAAAAAAAACGTTTCTAATAATTAGAAAAAAAAAAGAAAGAAAACGAGACAAAAAATAATGGTTGATTATTTTACCATATGTTTTATGTCAATTTTCTAAAAGAATAAGTGAAAATATTCACAATTGAATAAACACATGCGTGCATTTGCCGCTTTTTACATCATCAACTGACCTTAGATTAATGGTAATTAGTAACGTAATAACACAATACAAACGATTACGTGAATTTTATAGTTAAAAGATGTTCATTTAGTTTTAAAGTAACCCATTTTACATACACACAAAACAAAAACAACTACGGAAATTATATTCACTTGTATTCGAATCTTTTATTCACGCATCCGTTGCCTTTATCTCAGAAAGACTAAAGAGATTAAAAAGAAACTTTTATTCTCTATAATGTGAACGGGGGCAGTGACTGTAATATAAGCTTATAAGTAATAATAAAAAAGAGTTGCAATGTAGGTCGATCTGGCTGCTTGGAAAATTTGTAGCATTTCTGCCCAATTTGAGGGCAATGTGCGTCCAGGGATGGATAACCGGACAGGCGGACGCTTGGACAGATGAGTAACCGGGCAGGAAGAAAATTAGACAGATGGACCAGGGAACAAGGGGCGAACGAGCAAACGAGCAATTGGACATACGGACACATGGAAACGCTTAAATCGATTTAGAATTTGAGGCTAATCAACAACATGGGGTGTGTGAAGTTTCTTCCCTAACTTTTCCTAGCCAAACCACCTCAACCACCACACCATCCCACACTCAAATAAAAGGAATTATTGCGCTTTTTCAGGATATAAGGATATGCGAGTTTTCTCATTTCATTGCTTGTATTTTATAATTAATTGAATAAATATATACAGCTACGTGTGAACGTCTAATCGTTTGTCATTATGTTCTTTCGCCCTCTTGCCCTTGTGGTTCTTTGCCGCTAACATTTTCAAAATATCAAAAATTAATATGAAAACTTGAAACTTTTTTTACCTTTCAAAATTTTTAAGATAACATATGGAGCACGCATGACACAACAGCAAGTTTATAAGAAACGCATGTAAGATGTAAGTGAAAATTCGATATATTATTGAAAATACATTATATATAAAGGACTTATAATCTATTTACATACATACAAATGCAAGATAAGTGACACAGTACAGGTCAGCTGGGATGCATAGTAACGTAATCATCTTGCTCTACGAACTCCTTATCAATTATCAATTTTAACCAGCGGCAAAATGCACTTTACGAGTTTAGATATTCAGTCAGTTTGTTTTTTAAGGGATCATTGAAGGATTTCAGACTTAGAGCTAATGCATCCCAACATCCAGCAACACGAGCAATAAACGAACTTTCGCCGGATGAGTTAAGCGAACATCAAAGGGTTTCTATTCGATCTAGAGAACTGCAATCGTTCGGGTTTCTATTCAATCTAAAGATTTAAAGTCTTGAGTATCGAGATTGCAGGATTTTGTAGAGGTAGAGAGATAAGTAGCCTGAATTTAAAGACTTCCATAAATATTTATTAAGATCATCTAAACAATCTTGGATGCAAAAAATTCTTACCGATTGAGTAAAGCCATTCTTTCTCTGCCTAATTCATACGTCTTGCAAACCAATTATAGATTCGGTTTCCTTATGCTCAGATATCAGTTATCAAAGGTGGATAACTAAGTGTCCCTTACTTAATGATCTTTTCTATTACCATATTTCATATTTTTCAAATCATTGCCAATCATCTCTAGCATCTTGCCTCTATTTGTTGGATAGATGGATAAATGCATAATTCTTTAGAATAGCATTAAAAGATACATTTTTTTTTTTTGCCTGCTCGCTTAGTCATTTTTGTTTCTATTTTCAATTTTTTTTTTTAAATTGTTTTTTTTATATTTTTCATGTTCTTAAAAATAGAAAATTGGAAAATAAAATGAAAATGAAATTTTTGTATCGCCCTGCTTACGTTGATCGACTCGTCGCATTCAGACATCATTTATGATCAAATAGAAAAACAGAAAATGAAAAATAAGTTTATTGACACAAACTCAATACAATTTTTGCTGTGTCTGCCCCCGATTCGAAACGAAATTTTCAAGCACAGAAAAACAAACTTGAAATAATTGAATTTGTTTTCCTCTGACGAGACAAAAAAAAAAAAACAAAAAAAAAAACAAAACTTATTTTCTATCTCATTTTTCTGCCTTTAAGCTAATTAAATAATAAAACAAAAACAAAAAAAAAAGGGCAAATATGTATGATATTCTCTTTAAGCCAGTCACGTGTCTATCCTCTCGCTATTTACGTCAAGTTCGTCTGGGCGGCGCTGTACCAGTTGGAACAGGAGCCCTATACAAGTGCCTATGTGGCGGCTTTGGTCGCCCCTCATGTCCCGATAAAGTTCGTTATGGTTTCATACCCGAAGAATGGTTTACAATGTTTTATAAGAAAACTGGTGCGACTGGACCCTATGCATTTGGATTGGGTTTACTCACCTATTTACTCTCCAAAGAGATTTATGTATGTAATCATGAATTTTATAGAGGCATCTCGATGGCTATATTGTCTATAGCAGCTGTAAAAAAACTTGGCCCACCTCTTGCTAGATATCTTGATAACGAGGTGGATAAGATCGAGAATTATTGGAAGCAAGCACGTTTGACTGAATTAAATGAATTGCAAGCATTAATAGACGGTGAACTCAATGAACAATGGCGCGCGAATGGCAATATATTGCTAATGGAAGTCAAAAAACTTAATATACATTTGCAAATAGAGGCCGCTTATCGGAAAGCGTTAATGGAATGTTATAAGGAAGTGAAACGTCGTCTCGATTATCAAGTTGCTTTGGAGAGTGTTCAACGTCGTCTTAATCGAAAAAATATGATACTTTGGATGATAAAGGAAATGAGCCAGGAATTACCCGACGCGGATGAAGAAAAATTGGAAAAACTAAAAGGCGATGTAAGCGCCATGTCTTTACAAGTTCAAATATGAAGAAATTCTCTTCTTTTATTTAGATACATACACATATGAGAATTTTTGCGGATGTCATTGCTTTTTAATTTTTTTTTTTTTTTTTTTTTCTTTTTTTTTTTTTTTGTTAATTTTTATGAATGCAAAAATTATTTTATAAATATACCAATTAAAATTTGAAATTTTTCAAGCAATTCAAGTCAAGACATTGGTATTAAGGCTTGTGGTCAAATGTTCTCTATAGCTGTCACATGTTTTTTTTAATTATATCAAAACGTCAACATAATGAATTCTTAATTGCGTGAAATGTTTATGATTAATCAGTCAGTGTCGTTTATGAGATGTGTGGCTTATATATTTCGTAGGCAAATTTAAATACAAAATGTACGAGTTTGTGTTTAAGGGCTTGAGAGCATGAAATATTGGAAAGGTTTTGAAAAATCTTGATCTGTTTACACAGATAAGACTAATTTTCCATTCGTCATCCATTTAAATAATTTCTACCATTTAAAAACCCACTTACATTGAGACAAGCAGATAGAAGGGCAATTCCTTGACATTCACTCAGGCTTGCAAGCTACGAGACTGATTGTCATTGGCGTGTTTCTTTGTATTACATTTAGAACGATACAATTTATTAATCAAAGATAAAGCCGGGCAAGCGAGCCACACACATACACACACACATACACACACACACACACATGGAGTGTTGACTGTGAGAGATACGTTTAAGTTCTGGATTCTGAAAAAAAGGCGAAATTACTTCACAAGTAACCGAATATTTCTACTCAGCATCGTTCTTTTATTTTCTGCACTCTTTCGAAAAAATAATTTGTAACCATAGCTTATCTTCTCGTTTGTTCGCCATCATTACACAAATTCACCTATGAAGTGTTGACGATTTGTAAAATATACCGCAAAGAACAATTCACTAAATAAAAAAATAACCAAATTTTAAGAGCAGCAGTGTGAGTAGAAAAACAGACGTGACTTGCGTTAGAAAAATTCATTTCATATATATATCTGTGCATGTACGTATCTGCAAACTGTTTTTATTTATTGTTGTGAATATGTATGTAGAAGGCCATGAATGATGTATGTGTTCAGTTTAGGATAAATTTAAAGCATCATTGACTGCCTACATCATTGAAGTATACGCCCTTCAGCAACAACTGCATTTATGCATGCATGTCTACGGAATAATTTGCTCCTTTCGTTATCGTAACAACTCATCTTTCCCAAAAAACCAAAGCAAAAAAGTCTAGCAAAACGTCATTTTTATAAGATCTCTATTATATTTTATCAAGTTTTACAAACGTAATAATAACATTAGTTAAAAATTTATCACAATGCACGTATACATATATATATATATATATATATATATATATATATATATTTTAAAAATGTATTTAAAAAGAAAAATGTATTTCTTTGCATTGGTGGACGACGTTAGTCATGCCTGATGAGTTTTTGGATTTTACTCAAACAAAAACGGGGCAAACAATTTTTTCTTTTTTCCTCCTTTTCATCATTTATTGCGGATATGCCATGAAAAGCATATATAATACATGGAAATAGAAAACTATACTGCATAACCACAATAAATATTCTATGTGCATTTTAAGTAGGCAATATGAACGCTCCAATATTCTTAGTTCTCACTAGTGTCTACATATTGGAGCGATGCTTAAGAAAATGTTTCATGTTCAAAAAGGTTTTTCGAAAAGACGTACAACGCATAACACATAACAAGCCTTAACGTAGCGTATGCAAAATATATACCGCGAACTTTGATGAGTTAATTTTACGACGTACGTGGTACGATTCGTTATAAAAATGAAAACATTTTAAACCTACTTAACGAGCAACTGGGAACATAAATAGATGTACTTAGCGCAAAAATAAATAAATAAATAAATAAATTAAAAAGCATTTATAATTTTAAGTTAAAAAATTTGCAAAGATCGAAATGAATGTAGAGTCAGTAACATCAGTATTTAAAAACCAGAGACTCAACCATATCAAAAATGAATTAATGACCAGTCCAATGAATATACTTTTAATGTTCCATAAATTATATATAAAAAAAGAAGAAGAAAATCGTACCGGAAAACGAAACTATACACTTTGGTTTTGTAGAAATGACTTTATATTTATGGTTAAAATGTACATATATTTGTTTAGATATTGTTCTATGTACTTGCACTACATATATAAATTCTATAAATTCATATTTTTAATTATTTACCATACAATACTGTAAACGCATCTGCACAAACGACTTGTACATTATTTACATTCTTGTGGCAAAGTATGCATTTTTTTCTTAATTTTTTTTTTTTTTTTTTTTTTTTTGTTTTTTTGGTACCTTTTTGTGACCAACATGTTGTTTGGGAGAATACAAATGTATTCGGGAACAAATACAAGTAAGTGTAAGGTGTAACTCAATTAGAATGTATTCTCTCTCTAATGTATGTGGCATTCGTGCATTAAAAAGTGTTGTTATGTTGAATAACCAACGACACGTATTTTTACTCTCTCGTTTTATGGGTAACATACCATATTAAATTTACATAAACGAAAGAAAAGAACACATAAAATAGTCAGTTAGTTTATGCTTAGTAAACCAACTAAAAAATAAAATTGAGAAAAATTCCATTACTTTACGCTTCACATATGGAAATGAAAATAAAAAAAAAAAATAAAAAAAATGCATTTTAAAATATTTTTATGACAAAATTTTAAGTTTACTTTATCAACATTTTCTGGAGTAAATTAAACAAAAAAAGAAATTTTTTTTTAAATATCATCAAATCAATTTATTAATTAATTAGTTAAAAGACATAAATAATTAATTTTAAAATCAAATTTCCAATTAAGCAAAAATGTGGCACAAATTTGACTAAACATTAGTAATATCTGCGAAAAAAGAACAAACGAAGCTGTTCTATGCAATTCGAGATCTATGCAGATCGAGAGAATCTTTAGAAAATTTTGAAATTTTTGCTTTTTTTTTTTTTTTCTTTTTGCAAAAGTTATTTAACCTCGTCAAAGTTCTTTCCCTTTCTTTATTTCCTTCATTTTTTTTTTTTTTTTTTTTTTTGCATCGCGATTACTTGTCATGTTCATCCCAATTGTCTTTATATTCTAGAATTCACTTCAATTCAAAACTTTTTCATACATTGTACTTGAATCATAGAAAAAAATTTTAATATAAAGAAGTACACAAATAATAATAGCATTAAATATAACAAATATTGGCTGTCACCGAATCTCTAATGCCCATCTCCGATTTTCGTAAGAAAAGCTTAAAAAAAAAAAAACAAAAACTTAAGTACAAATTTATATCGTTTGTCTGACCCAGATATCTCCATTTGTCACCACAACAATTAGTAGACAGATGGACAGACGACCTGACCTATGATGCTAATCAATAATATGTAGTCTTTAGTAAGTCTCCGAAGCTTCTCTCTAATTATTGCAAAAGGTTTTCACAACAGAGTGCAATTTTTGAGAAGGCGTGGTCGAATCTTTCTATTTTTGCACATTTGATGTATGATTGTCCGTACAGTGTAAATGCAAATTTTCATCAATTGTATTTTTCGTTGTTTACATATGCAGCAAGCTTTCTTCCAGGCAGACGGACAAGCGGACATTCCTGAATCGGGTTAGAATTTGACTTTACTTTATGGGGGTCTCCGAATGTATTGCATTCCGCTTTAACACACAGAATATGCCATTTATCCTGCTTTAATGGATATGAAAAGATGAAAGAAAGAGTTTTCTACAAAATACTTCACTTGGATTTTCTATGAATTTGTCGAGAGATATTTCCTTGAGTTGCAAAGGTCAAATATACTTTCGTTTCTCCCTCCCTGTGTTGCGTTTTATTTGTATTAAGATGGCAAAGAGTCTTTGCTCACAATATCATTTCACACCATATATGTATAGATATAATAAAATCTTTTCCATAAGAAAGATAAATGTATGAAAAGAAAAAAAAAAAGAAAAAAAAAGTCATTTTGAACCCTTGAGGAATTCCTGTCATAAATAAAAACTAAACTCTTCTAAGAGATAAACATTCAACGCTCTGCTCTAAATAAACTACAATTTTTCTTGATTATCTCTTGATGCTTATGTTAACAACTGCATTACACATACAACACAATAACAGTATGTTCGCAAACAGTATGGTTAAATGTTTGCATAAAAAATTTCTTACAGATATATTACTCGAAGCGAGAAAAAAAACAAAAACTTTCGTTAGTTATGAGCGAGTGAGTAAACGCAAAGCATTTATGAAATTATTTAAGTTTTATTTATGTAGCCTTCCATCATCTTACATTATCATAACAAGCTTTTATACCATTGTAAGGGATATTCAATTATGGATTACCATCATCACCGCAACATACCGTTAATAGAAACTAAGCAAAAAAAAAAAAAAACCAAGAGTACAGAGAGAGTAATAAATAAAACTATCGTAAATAGCTTGAGGCTATTGGCACTAAATGTTTACTGTAAATGATACAGAATTGTGAGTACAACGAGAAGCATACTATAAAGCATTTGCATTTACAAAGCGCTTGAGTAGACATTTTGGGAGGAGATTGACCTGCTTTAGTTACTCATATACACATACACTTTATTATAATATTATAAAAAGGCATTCACATAAAAACGTTTCTTTCCCATTTCCCTCTCAACACACGTCAGGGAGAATAAGTAACAATAAGTTTCAAACTAAACAAAAAAAACAAAAAAAAATTAATTCTTTTCGGAAAAATCAAACGAAGAAATAAATTTTAATTTAAACAAGTAGTAAAATTACATTTCACTGCAATCGAATCTTTTGTACCCACCACTTTTATCTCCAGAAAAGAAATCAAAGAAAATGAACTTTCGATACACAATAATATTTGTTGCTAATAGCCACGGATTTTTTCCATTTCCATTTTGGATATTTGAAGGAATTAGGGTAGAATATATGAATTTCATTTTTTTTTTTTAGAGAT